CAGTTAGACAAGGATTTGTCTTATGAGGAGGAGTTGGTAGCTATTCTAGACCGGCAGGTTCGTCAGTTGAGATCCAAGAGTTTCCCTTTTGTTCGTGTTCAGTGGAGAGGTCAGCCTCCTAAGGCATCGACCTGAGTGTCTTAGTCCAATATGCGGAGCCGTTATCCCCATCTATTCCCCGACTCATGTACTTCTTTCTTTTGTCCGTTCGAGGACAAACGGTTGTATTAGAGGTGGAGAATGTGACGACCCAAAGGGGTCATCACCTGTTTTCTTACCCATTTTGTGCTTCTGAGGCCTTGAAACCCTTATTTTTAGTCGCCTTGATTTGCGTGCGCAGTCCGGGCATGTAGCCGAAAAGCTTAAATATGAAATTCTATGAAAAAAGTTAAAATTTGATATTAAAATGAGTAAATTTGACTCTGGTCAACATTTTGGGTAAACGGACTCGGACCCGTGATTTGACGGTCCTAGTGGGTCCGTAGGAAAATATGGGACTTGGGCGTATGCCCGGAATCGAATTCCGAGGTCCCAAGCCCGAGAAATGAATTTTTGAGGTAAAATTGTTTTTTTGAAATTTATAAAGAAAATTGAAATGAAAATTGGTTAGAACGTGTTGGTATCGGGCCCGTATTTTGGTTCCGGCGCCCGGTGCAGGTCTTATATGTGGTTTAAGATATGTCTGTGAAGTTTGGTTGAATTGGACGTCGTTTGACGTGTTTCGGACTTAAAACTCTAAATTTGAAAGTTTATGAAGTTTGAAGATAAACTAGTGATTTTGAGGTTTGATTCGTTGTTTTGATGTTATTTTGGTGATTTGATCGCACAGTTAAGTTCGTAGAATGTTGTTGAGTTAGTGCATGTATTTGGCTAGGAGCCCCGAGGGCTCGGGAGTGTTTCGGAGTGATTTCAAACTTTGAAAAATTGCAGATTTGTTGCAGTTGTTGCAGACCCAGTTTCTTCTACGCGTTCGCATTGTTCCTCTCGCGTTCGCGATGCTCTAATTTTTCCTCCTTCGCGTTCGCGTCCCTACCCTTGCGTTCGAGTAGGGTTATTTAGCTCTGAGAGCTGAGTCTCCTTTTCTTCATCGCGTTCGCGTAAGCCTACTCGCATTCGTATAGCTTTGCAGGATTTCCTCTTCGCGTTCACGTGCCTCTTTCCGCGTTCGCATAGACCAATTTCAGGGCCTCACCATTGTACTCTCCGCGTTCACGTGCCTCCTTCCGCAAACGCGAGGTTCTGTTAAGCCTTACCCTTCGCGAACGCGACCAGCCTATCGCGAACGCGAAGGGCAATTTCGCCAAGTTATATTTTAATTTTCAGAAACAGTAGCTACGGGATTTCATTAAGTTTTCACGAACTTCTTCTTCTCCAAGGTCCTTAGGCGTCCATTGAAGCTATCTTTCACCAAAGACTTCGTTAGTTAGTAATCCTTGCTTGTTTCCTTCCATTTCCTTCAACATCTCATGAATTCCTAATCCTAAAACATGTAATTTAGGGTAAAAAAATTGGGATTTGGGTAGAGTTAGGGCTTTTTGATTTTTTTCTTGATTTAGACCTCGTTTTGGGGTCGAATTTGAAAACAAATTATACATTTGGATTCGTGGGGAAATGGGTAATCGGATTTTGGTCCGAACCTCGGGTTTCGACCACGTGGGCCCGGGGGTGATTTTTGACTTTTTGGATAAAACTTTGGGAAAACTTATTTGCATGCATTGGGGTTGATTCATTTAGCACTTATTGATGTAATTAAGTAACTTGTGACTAGATTCGAGCAGATTTGTGGTGGAATCAAGGGGGTAAAGCTATAATTGAGGCTTGAATGGTGTTCAAAGCTTCGAGGTAAGTGTTTGGTCTAACCTTAGCTTGAGGGATTAGGAGTTGAGTCTTATTTGCTATGTGATAATTGTCGAGTACGACGTATAGGCATGGTGACGAGTATCTATACGTTGGTGTCTAGCATGACCGTGAGTCTTTATATTGCGGATATTCTGATCTTGTGGTATCTTTCTTGCCTAAATGATGATTTCTATATGTTTTAGAAAGCATGTGAAAGAAATAGTGATCTTTGAACTTCGAGAAGCATTGGCTCAAGTGGTAATACGAATTGTGAAAGTATATGAGAAAATGAAACCCTTTGGAGCATTGGCTCAAGTGGTAAAGTGAGTTATAAAGTAAGAAGTGAAAGAAAGAGAAAGAGTTATTGAATTGTTCCCTTGCCGGGATGTTTGTTGCTTTGTTGATTATCTCCCTTGCCGGGGTGTTGAGATTTATTGATATTGTTCCCTTGCCGGGACTTAGCTGTTTAATTGTATTCCCTTGCTGGGATTTCTATTATTATTATTTGTTTAATCCCTTGCCCCTTGTTTGTGATTGTTGTTTGGGTGAGGAAGAGCGATAAAGCACGGAGGGTGATACCGTGCATTGTTTGCTATTGTGAGGAAAGAGTGTAAAGCACGAAAGGTGATGTCGTACCGTACGATGTACCATTCCGTATAGATATTTATTGATTATTTGGTGAGGAAAGAGTGTAAAGCACTAAGTGTGATGCCATGCCGCACGATATACCATTCCGTACCGATTTTATTGATTATATGATAGGAAAGAGAGTAAAAGCACGAAGGGTGATGCCGTGGATTTGTTGATTTCTGATTTCCTTGTTGATATCCGAGTTATGTTGTTTCTTTCATTACCTGGTGTTATTTGAATATTTCGAGGTATTAGATTTCCTTACCCTATTTGCCTTGTGATTGTTGTTTGGGTGAGGAAGAGCGTAAAGCACGAAGGGTTATGCCGTGTATTGTTTTGGTGAGAACGAGAGTAAAAGCACGAAGGGTGATGCCGTGCAAATTGTTGATTTCTTCTTCCTTGTTGATATTCTAGTTATGTTATTTCCTTACTTACTTGATGCCTTTCTATTCGGAACTATATTCACCCCCACAGCATGTTTTCTCTACCCGCATTGNTATGAACTACACAGGTTTATTTGGAGTCTGGTCCTAGCCTCGTCACTACTTCGCCGAGGTTAGGTTGGACATTTACCAGCACATGGGGTCGGTTGTGCTGATACTACACTTTGTGCTCTTTTGCACAGATCCAGGTCTTGGATAGCAGCAGTAGCGCGGGAGCCAACCTTCAGTCCAGTGAGACCGAGGTAGCCTTGCAGGCATCCGCAGGCCCGGCGTCTCCTCTCTCTTTTATTTCAGTCTGTTATCTCATGTTTCCGAGACAAATAGTTTATATTCTTCTTTCAAACGGTTGTATTTAGTACTCTTAAAAGTTCGTGAGTAATGTGACACCAGTTCTTGGGTAGAGGCATATGTTGATTTCCGCATTATTGTTCAGTTTCTTTAATTTACGTCTTCTGCATATTTATTTAATTCCGTTGTTTTCATGATATTACTGATAATTGTCAAAAGAAGTAATTTGTTAATGAAGTAGCAGTTAAGAATTGGCTTGCCTAGCTCACATTAGTAGGCACCATCACGACTCCCGAGGGTGGGAAATCCGGGTCGTGACAATTCTTAGTGACATTTACCAAAATGTCAGAAATTTCAATACGACATTTTGTAAAGATCATACGTAAATGTCGTATTTTTTTAGTAACATTAATCTAATTTTCGAAAATTTTAAGTGACATTTCCTATATGTTGTAAACTAAATATCGTAACATTCTTACTGATATTTACCTAAATATCATAAATTAATTGTCATAAATTTCTTATTGACATTTACATAAATGTTGCAAAGTAAGTGTCGTAAATTTCTTATCGACATTTACCTAAATGTTATAAAATAAGTGTCATAATTTCTTACCGATATTTACCTAAATGTCGGAAAATTACCGACATTGAAATTAACGACATTTGATCTAAATATAAATTAAATATCGGTAAATAAATTTGTGACATTTAAACAGCTTAATACGACATTTATTAAATGTCGTCATATCTCCACTTTCTTGTAGTGTTTTGTTTTGTATAAAGTAAATAAAAAAGAGTATGACATAAAAGGGAATGTGAGTAAACTTTTTCAGTTTTTTGGTATGCTTAATTTGGATTGAGCTTTGCTTCAACACAATTAACATGAAAATTTATTATATGGGGGAGTATTTTGATGTTGTCTTGTATTCTTATCAAACATATAAATTAGATATCTTACCAAAATAAACGCTTAATAAAATAAAATATGTAAGTAAAGAAATTTGTGTCAAAACATATTATATATATACATATTTGTGTGGATATAAATAATCATATTAAAGTTAAATTGAGAAGTTTAAAATTAGTTTTTTTTTCTAAAGAAAAATGCCATTTTATTTGGTACAAAGTAAATAAAAAAAGAGTATCGCATAAAAAGAAGACCTGATAAACTTTTTCAATTCATTGGTATTCAATTTTGAATAAATATCTACAAACATTAGTATAGAATTCTTCATTATTCTATTTTATATAATGTCGTTAATTACGAGAATCTTTATGTCTTATACTATAATACAGGTGTAGCCAATATGATATAATTGAAACTTCTTAATAGTTTTTTTCTTTTAAATAAAGGTGGCCTGGAAAAGACAAAGATACGCTACTAAGTTAAATTTTGTCTTTGCACTTCTAACTAACTTATTTATCTATGATCATGGATTCATATTTTAGGTAATTTAATTTAAGGGTCTTAAAAGATGACATTGCGTGGCCGTAAATGTTCGACGAAAAGACCATTAAAGTCACATTTTAAATACATTACAATAAAGTTTATTTATGAAATGAAAATATTGTTGCAATGTGCAAAGATCTATCCAATACCATTTACCTAATATAATTGCTCGGTAAAGTTTTATATATTTACGTTTTTGTTTGTGCGTTAGTCACCTCGTTAATAAAAGTAAAATAGAAGTCAGAAGTAAGAAATAATTATTTCGTCGAGTTTCAAATACTCTTGCAACCTTCAATTTCTGGAATTGGGTCTAGCTTTGCACGGACTAAAAATGACAAGTATACGTATAGAGAGCGAAACAGTAAATAAGCGGTTAACAGAAAAGGCACACAAATTACTACATTCATAGAGTAGAAGTGTATATGTAAAACACCCACAAGCATACAAATATGATGATACAGACACATTTTTGAGCTAAAAGCTCCTAAAAACAAGACTTCTAGAAAACAAGACACTGTACACTTCCGAAAGTACAAGTAGATCAGCAACCACCGAGCGCGCGCCCTCTGTTATTTAACCAGAGATGTCAATGGCCTTCACCTCAGGTTTCTTTTCCTCCATTTTTGGGACAGTCACAGTGAGCACCCCATTCTCCATAGTTGCCTTAATCTCTTCCATTTTGATATTCTCCGGCAACCTAAACCTCCTAAGGAACTTTCCGCTGCTCCTCTCCATGCTGTGCCATTTATCGTTCTTCTCCTCTTGCTCTCTGCTTCTCTCGCCACTAATTTGTAGAACTCTTCCTTCTTCTACCTCCACCTTCACCTCCTCTTTCTTAATTCCAGGAAGATCCACCTTAAAGACATGGGATTCTGGGGTCTCTTTCCAATCAATTCGAGCACTCGAGAAAGCAGCGGTTTCACGAGTAGAGGTTGGAATGTTGGCGACCGTGCCGGAGAAAGGGAAGCCCTCGAAAGGATCCCATATGTTGAGGGAGAATGGATCGAAGATGTTGCTCCTGCGGCCATCAAAGAAGCTTGGAATCAGAGACATTTTTTTATCTGAACGAGGACTTGACTGATGATAATCGGATGATGCTTAAGGCTGGAAATTATAAGGTACTTGATTGTTGTATTCGAATTGTTTGACGACAACCAAAACGTTGCCCAGTGTTATTTATAGGTGGGAGTTTTGGAAGGAAAAAGAAATGGACCAAGGAACTTATCGAGTTTCGAGCGCAATCTAGGATATTCTCGATATAACTATTGATATTGGAACAAGGAGATCTCTCTAGACTTCCAGAGCGTTCTATGTTCTTCCTATTAAGGGATTACAATTTATAGTTAATGGATATAGGAGGGGGAATATAAAAAGGAAAAATCCAAATGAGTGAAAGACCAAGAATGGGCGGAATATTGATAGGGACGAGTGTTCGGGCAATTCTAATTAGATATAAAAATTTCGATTTGAATTTTTGGTTCTCAAATGGAAGAAATGACGATCCAAATCCAATTCAAATAAACTTGAATTGGATCGAATTTTTTAAATTTGGATTCGAATTAATCAGTTTGGATAATTTGAATTTTCGATTTTGAGCTTATAAGTTGTAATGTTTCTTGTTTCTACTATAATAAATATCCAAATGAGGTATTCATATTAAATTGCCTAAAAAATCTTTATTTCCATCGCAATCTTCAAAATAAAGTATTCAAATAAAATCAACTTCAAGGAAAAATAACAAAGATATTACTAAGGCCGATAAGAAGTACCAATAGTAAAATCATGTCCAGATAGAAAGTATTGTGATAGTAACTTAGTAATCAATATACGAGATTGTGTCTCATGGTTAGGATATTGAACTTGTTCCTATTGACATATGAATAATGAATTAAATATAAACTATAAAATTTTGGATTTTCGGATATCCAAAAATCTGAAGTACCAAATCCAATATCCTATCCAAAATCCAATTTTTTTATAAATTAAATCCGAAAATCCAAAAAATTCAGATTTCGGGTTTGCCCAAACTATGCCCACCCCTAATATTTGAACCTAAATTTTTAAAGGAATTTTTACCTCCTATAGCAAAGGTTGATACCTTATTTATTTTAAATAAATACCCTTTTAAAAAATTATATTCCATAGCTACCTTTTACTTTTTATAGGCAAATATCTATTTAAGGTTACCTCCTACCCTTAAGCCATAAAATACTTTTTGTATTATTTTCTCTCTCATTCTTTCAGATTTTTCTCCACCCCCTCTCTCAACGCCAGTCTTTCTCCATGAATACAACCACGATTCTCCACTGATTCATCTCCATTGTCTCGCAAAATTTTCATTGTTAGTGGGCTGAGGTTCTGAATCAATGTCGAAATCAAGCCCTAGAGAGAAAGATGTAAGTTTGAAATCTGCTATTGAAAGGTAAATTGAGGGAAATCTGAAAGGAAATCACGAAGATCCACCCCATTTTGATTGTCGTTGCTCAGTAGAAAATACCTTCCAGATCTTTTGTATTGACATCAAGCTTCAACTCTTCTACCAAGAACTCGCAGAACTCAGTCTGGCCTTCTCTAGCAGCAAAAATAATGCCCCTCTTTTGTTAGCATCCTTCACATCTGCCACTGTCTCGGCCAAGCCTTTCCCATTATTCAGTTGCTTTGCCAAATCTGTTTCCACAATCATCATTACCATATGAACAAAGACGACAGAGTTTGGGGATGAGCAACTTGAAAAGTCTATTACCTTTTTTTTCATTGCATTTCAATGTATCTCGTTGTATTCTATATATTTCATTGTATTCATTATCTTTTTTTCATTGTATTTCAATGTATCTCGCTGTATTCCATGTATTTTATTGTATTCACTGTCTCGCTATATTCCATAAATATATTCATATATTTTTTTTAATTAATATAGTTTATGTATTCAGATGTATATATGTATTCAAATGTATCTGCAGTATGTACTCATATGTTTTTGCACTATAGATGACCTGCTATACTTCATGTATTCAATGTATTTTTATATATTTAACTGTATTCAATGTAATTATATAATTTCTTTGAAGATTGCTATATTTTTGAGGTGTTTTTCGGTTGAGAATCTTTTTTATAACTGGAAATACAAATTTTGTGTGTTATAATTGTGTTTGTTGAGTTATATTAGGAGTCTATTATGTTAATTGATTCACTATCTGTTTAAAAACAGCTGAATAGACCATGAATTGCGTCATTTACGTTACTGTATTTACAAATACATATCGCGAATATAGTCGAATACAATAATCTGTCTAGTTGTAATCCCCTATTTCACGCCAAGAAATACTACTGTATTCATGAATACATTAGCTTAAATACATCAAATACACTATAAAAATCCTGAAAACATAGCTATAGAAAGTAATATAGTAAATGGTAGCTACAACTAGCTAATAACCACTAAATAATAGTGGTTTGTGAAAATTTCTCATTTTTAAATGATGGAAATAGTTCCTATTTCACAAGAGAAAAATAAAACAAATTTGCAATTTCCCTAATAACTTTTTGCTTTCTTAAGAGTCTTTTTCTTTTTTTTTTTTTTCTTTTTTTTTTTTTTTTTTTTTCTTTTTTTTTTTTTTACAATTCTAATACTCGCAAGAGATAAGGGAAAAAATTAGAGAGACGGCGAAAATTGAACACCAATTGTATGTCCCCCAAAAAATGAAGTAACATATTATTATATATAATATATATTTTAATTATTATTAATAAAAGATCATAACTTTTTGATATTTAAAAAGTGAGTAAATAAATAAATTTTCTTTCTCGTTAAAGTAATACTTACCGTTCTTTTTAATTCTAATTTTTCCTCTTCTATTTATGTACTCATTTCATTTTAATGATTTTATGAAAGAATTTGAGTGCCTAATCCACACAATATGCACTTGTTTTTACCACTAGACCAAAGTCACAAGGTTTCTTATGTGTCATATTATTGTATAAATTTTACAATATAAGTTTAAGGATTTTTTAATAATTTTAATTTTTATTGAGCCGAATATACAAGACATTCCCTGTCAAAATAAAGATATTCAAATAATCACTACCAAAATTAATGAAGTATGTAACTTATAAATTGTATCAAATTTGAAAAGCTACTGATGTAATTATTTACCTAGAAAATTCAAAATTGCTATCCAGAAGAGTACATCCTTTCAGAGTCTTTGGTGGATACTGTATGTCGACTTAAAAGAATTATACATTGTTAAGTGAAAACAATGGGATATCAAGTTCAAATTTCAATGAAGGCAAAATACTAGGTGATTTCTTCCTATCTAGTATTTAAGTTTTGGTGGATAAAATTTTCTGCCACCTATTGATAGTGGTTGGTGGGAGGTAATATATGTCCCATAGAATTAATCGAGAGGCACACAAGCTGGTCCGAACATAATCGTACTGAAAATAAAAAAAAATGATAGCGCTAGCAATTCATTGGTAAAGCGGACGTCAGAATTGGGACTAGTGAAGTGCCAATCCTCCACGTTTGAGTGAGAGTTATGCATAAATCACAATGCACAACATGATAGCATTAAAATGTTCAGTTTTTCTGATTGTGGCTATAATCTGGAGTAAAGAATGTTTGCTAATTGTCTTGAATCTTAATCGTTTGTCTTCGAAGGCTATAATCATATTAATTCTTTGGAAATTGGTAATAATAATACAGCTAAGATCCCTGGATGGCGCAAGGATTTAGTTACCTAATTATTCAAGGAATTTTCAATATGCAAATCAGCTACAAAGAGGAAGGTGCGAACCTTGGCTTGGGTGATTGTGCAGATCGCTTAGAGGTTTTATAATGCAGACTAGACAGATTATGGCCCGCATATTATAATAGCTGGAATACTTATTCTTATTTTGATTGTTTATATAACAGAGTTAATTAATCTTGATAACTTTTGTACTGATATTGGGCAGACAAATTTGCAGAACGACAAAAGAAGAAACAGAAAGATGTACATTGTAATAATTCATATATAAATAATATTGCACAGTCATTGCTTCAGACTATATAGCACATACATTTAGGAAACGGAAAAAGTTATCCAAGTTGTACAAAATTTAACAAAACATCGATTCAGTGGGTGTTGTGTGCTCGCAAAATGACATAAAGTAATCTTTTTACATATATACGATTTATACAATGACAAGATAAGATGTGTTCCTTGTACTGTAATTTAATTTTTTTTAGTCTACAATAAAACTATTGGCACATGAAGAAATTATATGTTAAAACTATAATTGGTAAGCATGTTCTATGTTACAAGCTCTTCATGCAAATTCTCTGCATCTAACACAATTCACCCATAAATATTTTGTCCCGCAAAATGAATTTCCAACAAAAATAATAATATAGCCGGTGATACTTTCTCCTCTCAAATGTGAATACTTCACCCACAAGACCATACAATCTCAACATCATTGTTGTGTCCCTGCCAAAGAAACCTATGTTAGCTGATTCCAAATTTGATTTTTTAGTAAAAAGATGTTCATATTAAATATTGGTAAGTAACACGTGATAGAAAGACCACACTATAGCTCTACTGCAATAGCAAGTAAAAATAAAACCATACAATTAATATAAGAAAATACTAGTTTATAGAGGCATAAGTAGGAGAAAAATGATAAGAAGTTCCTTAAGTACTGCACTTGGAATTCTTGTTAATTAATCTTTTGCTGCTTGCCTGAAGCTGGTAACCATGAAAATTAATACTACAATACACATCTTGAATTATTAGCTTAGCATGAATAACCTGATGTATAACGGAGGTCTAATAATGATTACCCACTTGAGTTGTTCAAAATTGCTCAAATAACATTTCAATCAAGAAAAAGCAATCATCTTATATATTCAATTTACCTGATACACTAATACCAACCAAACTACTTCAGCCATTTCTCGTTTTCATTTCCAACTCAAAGAAACCAAATAAATAATTCAGCATGATACTTATTATAGCAGCATTTGTTTCTCTTCTTTTATTAGTATATTCAAGAAACAACATAAACAAATCCACAACATGCAATTATTTTCAACTACTCATATAATGCTCCAAACATCTAAAATTTTACCAAATTAACGATCAATTCATCGCTCAACTTCTGCGCACCGAATCTATTTCAAGATTTTATGTTTTTTTGACCTAAGGTAAATCACCAATAGCTATAAGACACTATCAACCACATTTGAGCACCCCATAATGGTTGATTTACAATTTTTTGGGAGTCCTAAATTGTTTATCAGCTTTGTATCGAGGTACTTAGAATATCAATACCCACCTTAAGCATAATAGATAGAACTTAATATTGTTGCGTGCTTAGTGTCTTGATTAATACATGTATATCATTTATGCGGGGGCTATGTTATATCTCTAACATATCCCTCATTTTGATTCATTGGTCAGTGCCATCCATTCTACTATTTAGTCTTTTTCCTCATACAACAAATCTTACTTGGTCTTTCCTAAAGTTAAGGTCATTATTTCACAGCTGGTCAGGTAGTTCAATAATGTTAAAAGGCTTAAACAATTCCATAAGTTCGTGCAGAAAATACTAAAATGGCTACACATTAGAAAATTCACAAAAAGGCAACAATAAAAATTCAAATAAGCAAAGTAAGAAGCGGGAAGCAACATCTATATGGAATGTTTAATATTTTATTTTTTGGGTTTCCACCTTATTAGTTATCTTCAGATTAAGTTATCATGTCATCTTTTAGAATGTCTCCAAGTTTCAACTTCTTATCTTAAAAATATGCTTCCTCAAGAATGAGAAATAAGATGAGGAAAAATGACTACAGGAACACGAAAAAAAGTACCTTGTACTGGACAAAAAGAGACCATATACCTAATACAAAAAACAACAGTGGCAACATCTGCATCGCATAGAACGGAAGGTCCCCAACTTCTTCAAAAAATCCAACAAGCTTCTTCTAGAGTCTGCCTTTCATCCAACTTTCCTGCAATTCACATTCTCTGTCAATATTCACCAAAAGCCAACTTTATTCTCTGGATAAAAAGAACTCTACAACGATGCCTTCTCTAATGTTCTTATTAAACAGAAAGTGCATAAACGATGGGGCAAAATAAGGGGCAAGGACAGGGAGAAACACAGGAAGAATGCAGATAATGAGAGAAATCTGGTAGCTAATGCTGCATGTAATAGAGCACCATATTGCTACCTCCTAGGCATGTGGAGGACTATTCATATGTGCAATGTTTGTACAGAAAATAGATTAATCAATCGCTAATTTGACTGTGAGGCAATGTTACAGCCTCATCCTCACATAAAATGAAACACAAAACAGAAATCGATAGACAATACAAATAAATTCTTTGTATTAGGAGACACAATCTAAAAATGCCAAGATAATATATGTTGTTGCACGACTATCCGACATCAAAAGTATGAGATGGTACTGAAAATACATTCTACCATTTACGATATATAATGCATGGTCCTAAAGTGAATTTGAATATTTAAAAAATCAAACGCTTATAACTGAATCTGATCTAAAAGAGAATAAAACCCAAAAGCATACACGTAGTACCTAATGCATCTCTGCCCCTTATATGAAGAGCAATTTGAAGGAGTTTAAAAATATATACTTTGATGACCACATCATTAAGGAAAAGTAGTTCCAATTCTTTTTCTTGTAGCGCTAAAGCAGAAAACATACTTTGTTTATTTAATACAAAGAGAACAATAAACCTCAAAAGACAACATTAATAGAACAAAAAGATCACATAATTTAATTACCGTGACAAAAAGTATAGACTATACTGAATCTCAAAACTTGGAGCAGCTTCAACTTTAGTATATCTTTCAGCACGAGCCTACGCAGAAAAAAAAAAGCATCCAAATACCTCGCAATATAGCGTTTGTGAGTATTGCTCAATGGGGGAAATTCAATCTGAGAGTGAAATATAGTATAAAATTGACGAAAAAAATATTCACATGTATGTAAAAAATCCAATGTAAACATCCTGTTAGCAAAAAATGAATTGCAGAAAAACCCACCAAAATAAAGAGCTTACACTTTGAAAGATGAACGCCATAGGAAGAAGCTAGAATTTGAGATTGAAGAAAGAAACATACAGATATAGGAATAGAGAAAGAGAAGGCAAAAGAGAGAAATAGATAAAATATCTAAAATACTATCTATTTGAAATTAAATGACAAATAACAAACCCAGACACGATGGACGGAAAAACTGTAGAAGATTTAGAGCCACAAAAAAAAGAGAGGGGTATGTGGCAATTCAATTTGGGGGCAAAAGCCACACAGTTTATACATAAAAATAAATGGCAAAGTAAAATAACATTTATGCCCGTGACCGACCAACAAGCCTTTTATGACATGTCAGTACTTGATGCTCAAAGGGTTCGTTCAGAAAGAAGTAGCAGATGAAGTTTATCCCAAATTGGGAAACACAGAGTTGTATTCCAAGTCTAATTGGAGATAAGGAAATGCGAATTCCTAAAAGAGGATACGAAGGATAAGAAAAGGCTAGAAATGTCTAATGCTGATGGAGGATGATTGCATCAAGAACTGATTAGCAATGGTGGATGATTAACAAAGTACAATTGAAAGAAGCTTGCAGTGAGGAAGGACACGACTATTATCAGATCAATAAAAATTAAAATTAAAATTAGCAATGTAAAATTACCACTTTGTCCTTGGCCGACCATCAAGGCTTTTCTATATAGTAGAAAAATCACTAGCTTCATGTACGATTTGTAATGGTGCTTCTGTTTCAGACTCGACAAACTCGAATTGTAGTTTGCAATCGATGCTGCAGCGCATTTGATGATGATGATTCAGGCGCAGCCACAAAGCACAACTCACGAAGCAATCTCATATTTGAATGATAGACAAATTAATTGATACAACAATAAAATAAGAAGTGTTATTATAGTAACATTACAACCATCTTTCACAAACAAACTTGACACCCGATCACCAACCAGATTACATTATAAGGAGCATAGCTCACAGAGACACAGATTATACATTATGAATCTATAACAGAGGAGAGAACTTGCAATGTGTAAGGAAAGAAAGATTTAACCAGATATCTCAATGGCTTTGACCTCAGGCTTCTTCACTTCCTCTTTGGGAACTGTAACGGTGAGCACACCATTTTCCATACTAGCCTTCACCTGATCCATCTTGACATTCTCCGGCAACCTAAATCGCCTAAGGAATTTGCCGCTGCTCCTTTCAACACGGTGCCACTGGTCATTCTTCTCTTCTTGCTCTTTGCTTCTCTCTCCGCTAATCTGCAGCACTTTGCCTTCTTCCACCTCCACCTTCACCTCTTCCTTCTTCAATCCCGGAAGATCAGCTTTGAAAACGTGCGCTTCTGGAGTTTCTTTCCAATCAATCCTAGCGTTGGCGAAGGCAGAGGTTTCGCGAGCCGAGCTGGGGACATTGGCCAAATTGCTGGAAAGGGGGAAACCTTCAAAGGGATCCCACATGTCAAAAGAGAATGGATCAAAGACGTTGCTTCGTCGACCGCCTAAAATGCTTGGGATAAGAGACATTCTTGACTGAGAGAGCTTTTGAGAGTCGGAGATTGCTTCGATTGTTATTAGATGTTTGCTGATTTGGAACGCAAGAGAAGTGAGTTATATATAGGAGGAAATAAAAGAGTCCGGCAACTTCAAGATTTTTCTGATCTTTTCTTGAATATCAAATTTTGTGGAAGAATGTTTGGTTCTGTAACTTTCTCGAACATAATTCATAATCTTCTAGAAATGAAGACTGTAACGACAATCAAGTCCAGATCTTCTTACTTGGGCCTTTATGCATGCTGGGTTGGCCCATACAATTAATTCCATCAGTTGAAAGTTTATAGAACTAATCTTAGGTTACCCGCGTTGCGGGTGTACCCTATATTAATGACAATAATTATACAAAAATATATAAATAACACTCAAAGCATGATTTTACTCACAAAATAAATATTAAGTAAAACTTTGACTTCTCAAAAATAATAAATATTGATCATGAAATTGACACTCATATAATGAATTATATTCATTTATTCATGATCGTGTCTCATAATATTTATTGAAGTAACAAATTAAATTAATGTATACAAAAGAAAATATGTTAGTAATTTGAAATTAGAATATCTTATGAATATTGCTTTTGTCTTAATAACCATGTATATAATGATTCGTTATGTAGTAATCAATAAAAATGGACAATTAAGTTAATACTTCAATCATTTAATATTGAGAAAAACAATTAAATGTTAATTTTATCCTATTTGAAATTTATTTTTAAATGCTAAAGGTGTTACTAATATGTAGCTCTGAGGCATATGCTTTTATAATAGTTCATATATATTTTTATTGATTAAATAAATATAACAACATGTACTTTGCGCGCAAGAAAGAAAGAAGATTGTCTTTTGTCTATTAAAATGAATTTGAAAATCGCTTTTCATTTTTTTTTTGTTGAAAAACTCTTAGATCTTCAAAAGCTATGTATTCTTGCTAAAATTGAAAAGTTAAACATATAGAATTGGAACTAAGTTTAATTTGAACATATTGAATGATGGTTGTGGAAATTTATGGGGTACAATTTCTTCCTTTATTGAGTTAGCTATATACATGATCAACATTCATCAAATTCAAAAATTTAAACTTTTTATTTTATAATTAAATATAACTTGTAGTAAGTATATTTACATATTGAGATTAGGTACACGCGTATAAGAGGTACTGTGAATTTCATCAAATAATAAAGACTCCTAACCTAAAAGAAAAGGAAATTGCGTGTGAGATTTAAGCAAAAAAATTTAACAACAATAAAATCTCATAAAACTAAAAGGTACTCCCTCCGGTCCAAAATAAGTGATTTTTTGGTTTTTTTTTGTGGTCCAAAATAAATGATTTTTCCAGATTTCAAGAATAAATTAATTATTTTTTCCCTATATTGTCCTTGGAGTAAATAGCGTTGGAATATGTGTTAGGAGTATTTATGTGAGATAGTAAAGGTTAATATGGTCAATTCCATTGCTAATTAATGTTAAAAGATGGATTTCTTAATCAGTGTGAAAACATCCAAAACATCACTTATTTTGGACCGGAGGGAGTATTAACTACAAATAAAGTCATTTAATAATCCAACATAAGGAGTTGAACAGGAGGCGAAAATTTAGGTTAGGCAAAAAAAATTTAACTACAAAAAAGAGTCTCCTAAGCATAAAAGGTATTAACTACGAAATAAACACATTTAATGCTCCAACATAGGGAGTTGAACGTAAAGGCAAAAATTTAGGCTAGGCAGAATTTTTTTAACTACAAAAATGGTTTCCAAAAACTAAAAGTTATTAACTACTCCACCGTAGGGAGTAAAATGAATAGGCAAAAATTTAGGCAAAATTTTATTAACTTTCCTAGACCGTTAATAATAGGAAAATATTTAAATAACTATTCCTAAATTATAAGAGAATTAATTAAATAATTATTTCTAAATATTAATGAAATACTTAAATTACTATTTTGTCTAATATGAACTCTATATTTTAAAGGGTAAAAATGGTGAACGATATTTCGTTAAGGGCCTTCATGCTTTTAATATAGTATAGATAGACAAGACGTCATTATGCTTGGGATTAATGTGCATTCTCTCCTTTAATTTTTTATTTATTTCGCCTTTTTTTGGCCACTCTTTAGATTCTTTTTCCTGTAATCCAGGGGCTAAATTTATCGTTCAAAAGTAATTGAATGAAATTTTCATATTGTAGACAAATCTATTCTAGTTAAAGATGTTTACCCATGAATTTGGAAGAAAATCTTCTTCAAAAATTGCCTCTATAGAGTTTGGGGTTGAAAAATTGTATAAAATAAACTAAGTCCCGATTTAGAATCTTTTATCTAGCCGCAAGTGTCACATTTGTGAACACCAGTAACTGGAATACACCAGCAAATCTAAAACCATCCAAACTCATCTGATACACACCTGAAACTCACCCGAGCCCCTTGGGCTCCAGACCGATCATGCACACAAGTACTCAGGTACTCACACTCTTAGAGTACTCAATCTCAATGTCTCGTATTCTCACTCACTATGCTCAATACTCAGCACACTCAGTCACTCAGTATTGTAAAGGGCAGATCCAGCCCAAACATAAATGAATCAAGGACAGATCCAGCCCAATGCAAATGAATCCAGGGCAGATCCAGCCCAAAAATGCATAGCAACTGCACCCACTGTAGATGTGCAGACTCCGGAGGGGCCGATCCATCCCAAGCGTTATATTAAACCAAATCCTAGTATGAATCAATAAAGCATGTTGTAGCGTGCAACCCGATCCCATAAATATCACTCACAACAGGCCATTAACCTCATTCAGTCATCAATCTCTCCAGTCTCTCGGGCTCACAACACTCATGCTAAGCAACCCTAATTAATGTGATGACCCAAAAGGTCATCATCTGTTTTAAAAATAAATTCTGTGTTTCGAGGCCTTAATAAACCTCTTTCAGTCTCGCCTCGATTTGTGTGCGCAGTCCGGGCGCGTAGCCGGAAAGCCATTATGTGAAAATTTGTGAAAAATGATGAATTTTGACTTTAAAATGGATTTAAGTTGACTTCGGTCAACATTTTAGGTAAACGGACCGGGACCCATGATTTGATGGTCCCGGAGGGTCCGTAGGAAAATATGGGACTTGGGCGTATGCCCGGAATCGAATTCTGAGGTCCCAAGCCCGAGAAATAAATTTTAAAGAAAATTATTTATGAGTTTTGGAAATGAAACGTGTTCAAAACTTGATGGTAACAGGCCCGTATTTTGGTTTCGGAGCTCGGTACAGGTCTTATATGTGATTTAAGTTGAGTCTGTGAAATTTGATACGTAACGGAAGTCGTTTGAGGTGATTCGGACCCGTAGTTGTGAAAATTGATACTTTGGAAGTTTCGAGATTTTTCTTAGATTTTTATGCTAAATTAGTTGTTTAAGAGGTTATTTTGGCGATTTGATCGTACGGATAAGTTCATATGATATTTTTGAGTTAGTATGCATGTTTGGTTTGGAGCCCCGAGGGCTCGGATGAGTTTTGAATAGGCCCCGGAGTGGATTTTGGACTTGGAAAGTTGCAGACTTCAGCAGTTGCATTGCATGCCTACAGGCTTCGCATTTGCGAAGCCGGGCTCGCAAATGCAAAGGCTATGTCACAAATGCGAAAATAGCCCAGGCCAGCCTTCCTCGCAATTGCGAGGAATTTATTGCAAATGCGATGTTTCCCCCTTTTGGTCAGTCGTCGCAAATGTGACATGTGGTTCGCAAAAGTGACTTCGCAAATGTGAAGGTCACCTCGCAAATGCGAGCATAGCAGAAGTCTGGGTTCGCAATTGCGAACCCTGGTCGCAATTGCGACATCTGCAACCTGCAATTTTATAACTTAGCCGAAAATCTTTCATTTTTCACACTCTTTCAAAACCAAAACACTCTTGGGCAATTTTTCAAAGACAACTCTTTTTCCAAATCGATTGTAAGTCAATTTTAACTCGTTTTCTTCAATCATTAACATATTTTCACATGATTTCAACTAAAATTTAATGATTTCCATAGGGGAAATCAGGTATTTTGGTTAGAACCTAGATTTTTCAAAAATTGGGATTTGGACCTCGATTTGAGGTCCGATTTCAAAACAAATTATACATTTAGGTTCGTGGGGGAATGTGTAATCGAGGTTTTTGGTTCGAACCTCGGGTTTTGACCATGTAGGCCCGGGGTCAATTTTTGACTTTTGGGAAAAACTTTAGAAAATCTATTTTTCATGCATTGGAATCGATTCATTTAACATTTATTAATGTAATTAAGTAACTTGTGGCTAGATACGAGCGAATTGGTGGTGGAATCAAGCGGTAAAGCGATAGTTGAGATTTCAATTGTGTTCGTGGTATTGAGGTAAGTATTTGGTCTAACCTTAGCTTGAGGGATTAGGGATTGTGTCCTATTTGCTACGTGTTACTTGTTGGGTACGACGTATAGGCATGGTGACGAGTATCTATACGTCGGTGTCAAGCATGCCCGTGAGTCTTGTATTGTACTTGTTATGACTCCGTTGTGGTTTATTGCGCTTCATACAAGGATTATCATTATTGTTCCCTTGCCGGGATGTTATTATCATTATTGTTCCCTTGCCGGGATATTATTATCATTATTGTTCCGTTGTCGGGATGTTATTATCATTATTGTTCCCTTGCTGAGATGTTATTCTCATATTATTGTTCCCTTGCGGGGATGTTTGTTTTGATATTATTATTCCCTTGCTGGGATGTTGTTGAAGTATTATTGTTCCCTTGCCGGGATGTTGTTATATTGCTCGTGTTCCCGTTGTCGAGACTCTTTTGTGATTGTTGTTGATTTATGAAATGGGAGCTGGTTGCACGGCTGCAACAAGATATATGAAATGGGAGCGGGTTGCACGGCTGCAACAAGATATATGAAATGGGAGCAGGTTGCACGCCTACAACGTGATATGTGAAATAGGAGCGGGTTGCACGCCTGCAACGAGATATATGAAATGGGAGCGGGTTGCACGCCTGCAACAAGATATATGAAATGAGAGAGGGTTGCACGCCTGCAACAAGATATAGGAAATGGGAGCGGGTTGCACGCCTGCAACAAGATATATGAAATGGGAGCGGGTTGCACGCCTGCAACA